CATCTCACTCTAAATCCTTAATTTATTTTAAGTCCATTCTGGAACGTACCATCCCCATGTAGTTCTTCTTACCTAAACCAGCTTCACACGATGTCCCTTTGCATTTATAGACTGTGCTATGCAATCCTACTTTGCCTGTATTTTCCCTCCTATTGCCTTTTGCTCTGTTGTTGTTGTTGTTGCTAAGTACTGTTGAGTTGGTTCTGACTCATAGTAACCCTGTGTGGGGTTTCTGAGGAGTGACTGGTGAGCTTGAGCCGCTGACCTTGAGGTTCAAGCCAACCTTGCAATAAATAGTCAAGTGCTAAATAACATTTTTATATCTTCTACTTTTACACTTAGTATATTTACCTTGCAAGATGCTGAGAATTGAAGTAACTTGGTAAATCAGTTGAACCAGGACATAATAATATTAATAAAACTAATGCTGTCAACTCCAGTCCAGCTCATAGCAATGCTATAGGACTGAACAGAACTGTTCCACAGGGTTTCCAAAGTTCTGTTTATGGATGCAAACTGCCTCAGTTTTCTTTCACAGAGTAGTTGGTGGGCTCAAACAATCAGTTATCAGTCTAATACTTAACCCACTGTGCCACCAGGGCTTCTCACAGTAATAATAGTGAACACTTATACGAAGGGCTTCAAAAAGTTTATGGAAAAATTCCATTCTCTTTTAATTCAATTTATCCACAGACTTTTTGAAGTCTGTTCATAAAATGTTTACCAGGCACTTTTCTAAGTACATGAGCTCATTAAATCCGCGTAGACACCATGAGGTTTTTATTATCCCTCATTTTATAGATGTGGTAACTCGGGGATAGAGATGTTAAGAAACTTGCCTAAAGTGAGAGCCATTAAATGATGGAACCAGATAGTAAACCCAGGCAGTCTGACTCCAGCATCCATGTTCTTAACTAAAACCATCAAAGTAAACATTTATTAAGCATTTTTTATATGTGAACCACTGTGCTTAGTGCTTTCCATGCATTATTTCATTCATTCATCACATGAACACTATGAGATAGGTACGGTACTATCCCTATTTTTTACATGAAACGGAACCACAGAGAAATTAAGTAAATTACCTAACACCATGCAACAAATAAGCCCTAGGTGGTGCAGTTTGTAAACCCACGTCTGTCTGACTCCAGAGCTCAACCTCTTAACCACTATGCTGGATTGCCCATGGACCTCTGTTGCTGTTAATTGGGTCAAATCCCATCTATACTTCTACCCCAGTGCACGGTATTGGTGCTCTCTTTGTTGACTTACATATATTGTAAAATGCATTGCTTATTTACCAGTGTGTTCCAGAGCATATCAAGGATAGTACATGAGTAATTCCCTGGCCAAATTTACCTCATTAACCTTACTGTTATATGCTGCTTGCTTGACTAATAGTTTTTCAGAGTTGGACCAGTGCCCCCAGGTTAGGCCAATAGGAGTTACTCCTATAGTATTGTGGCGCTGTGGGCTAATGCGTCAGACTGCAAAGTCGTTTGAACTGCAAGGTCGGTGGTTCAAGCTCACCAGCTAGCTGCTCTTTGGAAACCCTACTCAGGGTCAATGTGGGTCTGAATCAACTCAACGGCACCTAACAACAACAACAGCATAGTACTGTTGCGGAGTCCTGGTGTGGCACTGTGGGTTAATGCACCAGACTGCAAACTCATTTGAACTGCAAGGTTGGCAGTTCAAGCTCACCAGCTGCTCCTTGGAAACCCTATACAGGGTCGCTCTGGGTCGGAACCGACTTGACGGCACTTCACAACAACAACATGGTACTATTGCAGAGCTCTGGTAGCGTAGTGGGTACAAATCAGGCTGCTAAT